AGAGCAAAGTTTTCTTTAATTTTAAATCCATTTAATTAATTGTTTTAATTCCAAGCCTAACAGGGTTTCAAGGAAAAGGTTGTTTTACAGTTTGTTCTTAACTGAAAGAAACAAAAATTGCAGAAACTAGAAATGTAAGCTTTTATCGTTAACAATAAGTTCTCTTTTATAACAGAATCCAGTGTTTCACCCTTATTTCCCCCTTTTCATTAGGGTTCTAAGATAAACACTTAAGTCTGCTTTACATAAATGGTATGAAAGACAAAAGGCTTATTTCCTTAATAGAAATGTCTTNTCCCAAGCCAGCTCTTAACTATCGCACCACTCGGCCGGCCCCCTCAGGTATCTTGTAATTTCAAAAACCATTGTGTCTTTTTTTCTATTTTTGCCTGTTTGATCAGCTGTTGTTTCAACTCCTTGTTGTTCAAGCCTGTTTGATCAGCTGTTGTTTCAATTCCTTGTTGTCCAAGCTGTTGTTCTAAGTTTTTGAAATTTTAATTCAAGGTGTCCTATTTTCCTTCAATATTTGTAAATATTATGGACATTTAGTTCAGACTGAATTGTATTAAGATTTCTTCTGTTTTAATGATGGTGTTTTGGGGGGGCGCAGAATTTTCATCAGCTGAAATGAAAAGTTATAAATCTAAATGTCTGCTTTCTTACTTTGTGTGAATGCCATCTGTCATATGCCATACACTTTGAAATATTATTTTCCTGTACTAGTAATATAATTATATGTAGCCAGAGTGAGAGCTTGAGGGGGCAAACTAGGTTTCTTAGTTCAAAAACACTCTTGTTGTGATATGGTGAAATATTACTGTTTGTTTAACCATTGTTTTAATGAAAGAGGGCTTGATGTGTTTTCTCATTTTGAACCTTGTCTCCCTCTTGCTTCCTGCTCTTCATTTGTCAGCAAGCCTCCAAAGGTGCATCTCCCTGCATTTACTCAGAAGTAGGGCCGTTATGAGACTCCTGCCTTGGGTTCTGTTCATTTACAGTAACATGCTCCAATCTACAAGATCTCAAACTGATTCTTGGTAATTTCCCACTCTGAGTGCAAACGGTTTTTGAGTGACTTTTATCTGTATCTCAACATCTCCAGTCTCCCTACCTTCACCCCTCATTCATATCCCCTCTGCCCTCACCCCATCCCTGCTTAAGCCTCCCCTTGAGTATAAGCTCTAGACATGATTTTGCTGGTCTGAATGCTTCTTTTCATACTTATAGGTAACTTAAAATCTGTCTCTTAGTCTTTTGGGTTTCTGGACACAATTCTAGTGTGTGTGTGTGTGTGTGTGTGTGTGTGTGTGTGTNCTGTCTTTCATATCCCTGTGGCAATATTGTAGTTACCAATTTATGTTGTCTTGTCCCTTCCCCTTCTCCCTTATCCCCACCCCCTCCCAACTAGCAATCATCAGTTTTTTCTCTGTGTCTCTGAGACTATTTCTGTTTACATTGCTCATTTATTCAGTTCTTTAGGTTCCACATATAAGTGAGATCATATGGTATTTGTCTTTCTCCGACTGACTTATTTCACTTAGCATAAGTTTCTCTAGGTCGATCCATATCGTTGCAAATGGTACGATTTCATTCTTCTTTATAGCTGAGTAATACTCCATTGTATAAATGTACCACAGTATCTTAATCTAGTCATGTATTGATGGGCTTTTGATTGTTTCCAAGTCTTGGCTATTGTAAATAGTGCTGCAATGAACACAGGGGTGCATATATTTTTTCGAATTAGTGTCTTGGGTTTTTCTGGATAAATACCTAACAGTGGAATTGCTGGGTCAAAAGGTAGTTCCATTTCCAGTTTTTTGAGATCCCACCATACTCATGTCTTGTTAGGGAGACCACTTCATGGACGGTGTAGAGGCCTGACCACTGCACTGTATATCTGAAGCTGCCGTTGAATAATATTATATGTCAGCTATAGTTTAATACATATATGGTCATGGGATGTGGAGTATAGTGTGGAAATGGAGTCAATGGAATTGTAATAGATACGCATGATATTGGGGGTGGGGGAGGCAATGGATAGGGGTAGGGGGATTGTCACTTTGTGAGGGGTGAAAAGGATAATTATTGCATTGTTTTGTACACCTGAAACTAATAATAATAATTTAAAAAAATAAAAAAATAAAAGAAATATTCTGTAAATTAAAAAAAAAAAAAAAGCATTGCTGCCGGGAGCAGGCTGTGCCTCAGTATCTGACATGGCCAANAGTTTGAGCTCTGAGCAACAGTGGTTCGAGTCCTGGCCCGAGCTGAGCAGCCGCTGAGCTGCCAACAGGTAGCAGGATGGGTCAGCTTAAAAAAAAAAAAAGAAGAAGCTCTTGAACTCTAATCTGTATCACTATTTGGTTTTCCTCATGATTAATTATCACTCATGGAGAAAAACCAATACCAATTTACTCCTTCAAAGTAAAGACTAAAAGTAAATCTTTTTTCTCCTTTTAAATTATAAAATCTGAGAATTTGAGACCAAGAAACAAGCTAAATGACACATATTTTGCTCAAGAAACTAATATTGAGATATTACCCAAATAAAAAAGGTACGCACATGCTCAATTTACCACATTTTGTATTTCAGAGAAGAGGCATTAAGGATTCATGCCATAAGTTTATTTACAAACACATCTACTATGTTGAGTTCAACAGTTTGATCCATTTTTCAAAGTGACTGCACCTCTTAAAATGCTCCTCTTCATATCTGTGAATAAAAACACACAAAAAAACTAATGGTATTTTAAAAATTCCATTCATTTAACAGAAATCATGTAGCTTTATTAATGTATTGTCTGTCCATCAGTTTATGACTGGTACATCAGAAAGCGTTTACAGTATCATGACTTCATTCATACTGATTTGCTTCATCATATGCACCAAAATCTTTCTATATTAATGGCTTGGATAAACCTTTTGCTTTCTAAACTTGACAAATAAAATCTTTACTTTCCAAAGTATATTTTGGAATTTATTCCAATTATTCCAGAGCTTCTCATAGTGTTGTTTTGAGGAAAATTCTGGTTACAATTAAGCTAAATTAATCTTTTTTTCTTCTCACATAGGGAACCTGCTAACCTCCCAGCACACAAGACTCCTTTGGGCATATACTAACATTTATTGCCCTGGAGACAGACTAACATTAATCAGTTTACTAGAACTCTACCTGGTTAAGAGTGGAGCTCTGGAACAAGACTGCCTGGGTAAAAATCCGGTCCACTGTCACTAGCTATAAAATATTGAGCAACTTAACATTTTTATGTCTCAGATCAGGTTAATATCATTCACTTCTGACTTGCTAGGGAGTCGCATGAGATTATTAATATAAACTATGTCTCACAAACAGCAGTACTCAATAAACCCTGGGTTCAGGTCAAGGAACATTTGTTACTAGGTTTATTAACCTGTCTCCACCAATGTCACATATACACTTAACTTCAGCAATCAGCCCTATCCACAAAAATGTATTTGTAACTTTTGTTGGTTTTTTTTGGAAGGAGTGGTGAAGAGAGGAAGAAAGAAATAAAAGAGAAAGCATTGCTTCGGGAAGATTAGAAATCCATTAATTACCTGTTTACGGATTAGGTAAAATGTCCTTATTTCTTAAGCAGTTGGTGTCTTACTATGAAGAAAGGGGCAGCAAATCCAGATCCAAAGTACAGAGTCATCATAACTAGCAACCGCCACTTGTTTTCCACTGAAAATGGCAAATTCTGTTGGGGGGGAGGGAAAAGAGAACTTCAAAGCATCTGATTTTATAGCTCAGAAAGTAGTACCCAGGAGATGCTAGATTTTTTTTTTCTTTCCATAATCAGGTTATACATGCCATGCATCATAGGAGCACCTTTGTAAACATTATCTTTCAAGTCCTACGACTTTCATCACACTAAGGTAAAAACATATCTGGCTTTACTGAGCAGTGTAGTCTTAAGAACTCAGGTGAAAAACAGTGAGAAGCTTTTCATTTCAGAAAATCAGACATACTCTCCAAAAGTCATTTTATAAACAGAATGCGTGGCTCCAGTTCACTGTTTGTTGGGAAACTAGCCACTTAGTAAAGAAGATACAAGTCAACGTTAGCTGCACTTAACTAAGTCTGGCTTTTTTATGACCGAGCTGCCCTGCCTTCCACACGCTTTTTCTCAGCCCTTTCCTCCTCAGGCCTCGCGTCCCCCTCGGAGGGGGTTACTGCCAAACTGTCCGATACACGCTATTTGTGCTTGAGGCTAACGCCAACCTCACCCAAGGAGGGTTAACACTCGTAAATTAATCAACTAGTTAGATAAGGTCAGACCCACAACCACAGGCCCTCGTCTCTTCATTCGTTTCCAGTGACCTTCACTCCTAGTCCGGTGACCTCTAGCTCGACTTTGAGACGCGATATACCCGCCGCCAGGATCTCCACACCCCTTCGGATCTGGGAGGGCAAGGACGGGGTGCGCTAGGCCAGGCGGGGCTCCCAGCTCGCCCTCCTTATTCCTTTCCCCGACGAAGGCTCGCATCCAGGGGCCCGCGCGTCCTCCCTGGTCCCTGGGGGAAATGGAACGCTAGCCGGCGTCCCAGACCAAATTTCCGGCTCCCCTTCTCCCTCGCCACGGTCCCAAGGGCGGCCTTGGGAGTTCGGAGAGTCGAAGCCCCCTCCCAAACGAACCCGGGCCCCTTCCACACTGACCTTCCCCGGGCCCTCCTCATAGTGGCTTCTACGGACCACAGAGGTCGTGAACCTCCGGATGCTCTGTCCCAGCATAGCGCTGTTGGGAGGCCTGCGAAAGGCGCAGAGAACCAGAAAACGGAGGAAATGGCGGTTCCACAGCAAGTCCTCCCTTTTTCACGACCTAGTGCCTCTGCGTGAGAGGACCGAAAGGGGAGATGGGAAGTGGGGACGCCAGGGGCGGTCTCTGAGCATTGTGGGAATTGTAGTTCAAAACATCGATGCGCCTCATTGGCCCGGAAGGATTGTGGGAAATGTAGTCTCGCGCCAGGCGGAGGGAGGAGGAGAAGCTGCGATATGTTGTTTCTTACCAGCAGCGATTCATTCAGACCTGAGTTCTTATCGAGTTCTTGACAGGATTCGTGAGGTCTGTTTCCAGACGATTTTACGGAATTTAGTGAAGCAGTTTCACCACGTGTGCTCTAGATTATGAAACAGGAAAATGAACCTCTCTCCCTTTTCCTTTTTTGCTTTTTTGTTACTGTAAACTAGGTGCCTGTGATTGGCAGTCCTCTACCAGCGCTGAGAGAGATGCGTGTTATAATCTTATCTGAGGAAACAAAGTATAAACGCAAGATACCAACCAATATGCAGTACAAAGGATGTCAGAGAGAAAACTGAGTTGAGTGCTAAGGTAAGGATTCCTGAAGTAGAGGGAACTGAACAGAAGAACGGACAGAGGCCAGAGGAAACTCAAGGCCAGTATTAGTATGGCGTGATCTGAATGTGGAAGAGAAAAGCAGCCTCTGACAGCTGGGGTTAGCCTGGACGAGGAATTGGTATTCTGCTGAACTCAACAATTTCACAGAACATCAACATCAGACAAAATCACTGTGTCAGTGATGGATCAAGAAAATAATAATCAATGTATTATCATATCTGAACAGAGACAAAACATGAACATTGTCCAGGTCACAAAAATGACCAAAATCACCGTATCCAGTCTAATATGATGACTTCTGATCCTTTACCAATTACAACCTTAACCTTGGACCAGTTTTCACCCTAAGTAAGATTTAGTAAGATAGCCAAAGTCATGGAAAACAAGTCCAAATTCTTTAAGTCCTAACACTCGACTGAGATAACCACGGTTCCTCATGGTATTCAGTCTCTTTTACTGCAATGAGTAATAAACCCAGTTTGTTCAATTATAGGTGTGTTCCTGGTGGTCTTTGACTAGTGGGCATTGGGAAGAAACCAGTGATAAATGAGGCTGGAGAAGTCATATGTTAGATTATGAAGGGTCCTGGTAACCTGAGTTTTATGTTATCATCTGCGGGAAAGTGTAGATAGCCTCAGATGATCCATTTATATAACAGCTAAACAAAGTTGAATAAGACCCAATTCTTGCTTTTAAAACTGGGTATAAAAAGTATGTTTAGTCCTTCTTTAGCTTTTGAAAGAGAAAAGCAGAAAAGCCATGGCCTCCTGCCCCGCCCCCCCCCCCAAATTTTTTAATTACATTTTATTTCTACAAGTAGCTTCTGATTGACTAGAGATTAATAGAATGCATTATAGCTGGTGTTCTTCTCCTAACAGATAGATATATAATATTCAATTTTTAAAAGAAGTCCCATTCAGCCCTTGTTTGTATTAATGGATTCTGATATAACCATAATTAGAAAATGTTTCCATTTTTAATACTTCTGGATTCTTCTTTTCAGTCTAATGTAAGTAATCACCCCTGTATATTTGGTTCATTGTTACTTCTAATTCACATTAATTGATTCTCCTCTGTGTATCTGGCTTTCAGATAACTCCAAAGAGAATTCCAGGAGAGATTCTAGTACATGGCTTTGGAATTGTCTTCCTCCTCATGGGCCCTGTGGCAAATTAAAGATAGCTGCAAATTCTTTTTATCAAGAGATGAAGTCTATGCCTTCTCTTCCTGAATCTGGATGGACATCCTGTGACAATTTTGACCAAAATAATTTGGCATAAGTGATGCTGTGCCAGTGTCCTGCACAGGCCTGTGATACTGGCAACTTCCTTTCCTGTCTTTTGGAACCCTTGCCTTTGGCACCCTGAGCCTTTATGTAAGAAGTTTGTCAAGTTGGCCAGAAAGACGTTAAGAATCCACCAAAAGAAGATGGGGATGGGCTTAGATGTCAGGCATGTGAGTGACGCTATCTTGGACCCTCCAGCACAGTCCTGCTGGATGTATATCTCTGAGTGACCCCAATCAATGCTGTGTAAAGCTGCCCAGTTTAGCCCTGCCCAAAATGCTGATCTACAGATGTGAGATGTAGTAAAATTATTGTTCTTTCAGGCCATTAAGTTTGAGATAGTTTGTTATGCAGTAATAAATGACTAGAACAGACACCTAGAAGTAATGCTGCTTTATTTAGGGAAATCATCTTTCATGAGAAGAACAGAATTTTTTACCATTGATCTATACATTTAGGAATTTGGTTATGTCATTTAAAATATTTATCTTAAAATGAATGTTTTTGTCAAACAGCCCAACTGAGAACAAAGGAAAATTTTGTGAGTTTGCATATTGTTTTTCTTAATTGCTAATTAATAACCAATTAATAAATTAGCAACCAATCAGTAAATTAGCTAAATAACTAACATGCCCTGAGTTTAGGGGTTTATGCTAATTTTTATTTCTTTCTTTTTTTTTTTAGATTTTATTGGGGAATTGGGGGAGGGGAACAGCACTGGGGAATCAGGGAAAGGGGAACAGACAAGTTGCTGCCCTTTTGTTCTTTAGTCTACTTGTGGAGGACGTCGCTTCACTGGCCCATGTTGGTATTATCATTGCGCTCTTCCCGGCTCTTCGGTCGCCAGCCACCGGATGGCCGCTCACAGCGGCTCTTGGCAGCTCACACCGGCTACTGGCCACTCACGCTGGCTACCGGCCACTCATGGTAGCTTATGGCAGCCCACTGCAGCAGGGGCTGCAGCCTACGCCGTCGCCAGCGATTCATGGCAGCCCAACTCCAGGTCGAGCTGTTGTTCACCATCTTAGCTGTAGAGGGCGCAGGCACAGCATTACTGGCCCTCATGTGGGATGCGAACCGGGGCCCAGCTGCTCAGAGCTGGCATCCCAAGCCAGCTCCCAACCAACAGGCCACTCGGCCGGCCCTAATTTCGATTTCTTAAATTCACCATGGAGGAAAAAAGAAGTTTAAAGAAATCTGACAATCTTACATTTTTGAATAGGTATTGTGATAAATTAAAGATGGCTATAATTTCTTTGTAACTCTTCTAATTGAAAGGTGGGGTCTAACTCCCTTCCTCTTGACCTTAGTGACCTGCTTGACCGCAGTGTGACATTCTGAGATTTCTGAGGTTGGCTTATAAAAAGCACTGCAGACTATCTGGCCCCCTAAAAAATATTTACAACATTATTGATTATATTCCCCAAGCTGTCTTTCATATCCCTGTGGCAATATTGTAGTTACCAANGAAAGCTCTCCAAACCCCCTCCATTTTGGGTTTTTATAGAAGCTTCATCACATATGCATGATTCATTAACTCATTGGCCACTGGTGATTGATTCAACCTTCAGGCTCTTTTCCCTGCCCAGAAATCAGGGCGTGGGACTGAAAGTTCTGATTAAGGTTGGTTCCCCTGGTAGCCAGCCCCTATCCTTTGGTGTTTTCCAAAAGTCACCTTCAATAACATAAACCCAGTTGTAGAAACCATAAATTGATTAAGTGGGCTGTATACCCTCAGTGTGGCAGAATTGAAACTGTTTGAGCTGGGTATATTATTTTATTATCAACTAAAGAACAAGATAATCTGAAATTCTCAAATGCAGTCTTTACTTACTCCAACAGCTGGAGTTTTGGGGACCATTGCTGACAATTACAGTACTAAAAATACCTCCTGATGCACACAGTAGAATGATTTTACAGCAAGACTCTGACTTGCAATTTTTGCCATTATGGTATTTAATATGAATTCTGAAAAAAAAATTGTCTGAGTTTTAGAAAGGGATTCTAGATATTTCCACATAATTATAGAAAAAGAATTTCCCACTATGTGCCAAATGGTTTTGGGAAATTTCATTGGTTTCCAAACAGGTACACTTATGAAGGGGAAGCGTAGTCCAATACTTGAAGGGGCAAACTATGACCATGGATCCATCAGTAATTGCTGTCTTCTAGGTAAAAGATGTGAAATATTGGTAATTTCTTAGGGTTCAATTTAGTATATACTGTCTGGGAAAAGTGTGATTGATTTTGGTAGTTAGCATGAGAGCTTAAGCATGAATAGATTTCACACTATGCAGTTTATACATAGACTTGCATTGCGCAAAGGTGTCAGAACATAATACATGGGGGATTTTGTTGATTATATTAATTTGAGCAGATCAGAGTTGATATAAGCCTGATAAATTTATTAATATACAAATATTTAACTGACCATCTCCTGTTACTAGGCATCAGGAGAAAATTTCCTAGACTGGCTCCTCATATACCTGGAAAGTGCTATTTAACCCAATTAGTATTCATCCTACCTCTATCTATCCAAATACATCTGTTGAAAGCCTAATATTTATGAAGCATGGCACTAAGTTTTGGAATCCAGCAAAGAAAACACACACGTTTTATTCTAAAGGATATAGAAAACTATTAAAATTCTGAATAAGTATTTAGTATCAATTATTGTGATATCTGCCTTTTGTTAGATCTGGGAAAATTGGGAGNTCATTCATCTTTACCATATCCTAAATGCAACTGCAGCCTTTCATTAAATTTCAGGTCATAGTCTTCCTTCTCTGGAGACTTTCAATGTACTTATAAAATAAAAAATCATTCATTTTCTTATTCACTCTCTTGAAATGATTGTGATATGTATGTGTGCATGTACACACACACACACACACACACAAACACACATATTTAAAGTTAAAAGGTTGAAGTATCTGCCTAAATTATTCTTGAGAGTAACTCAAAATATATACAGATATGAGGGAGAGATGGCGCAGTAGGTAAACGCTGTGTTTACCTTCTCTCACAACCACATCAAAATTACAACTAGTCTACAAAACAACCATTATTGAGAATCACCTAAAATCAAGCTGAACTGAAGCTTTTCAACTAAGGACTTTCAGAGGAGCCACCTCCGGACAGGTAGGAAGGTCAGAGATGTGGAACGGGCTGGTCTCACACCTGCATGTGACCATCCCCTAAAGGAGCAGGGGATCCCAGCTCCACCCCAGCCCAAGGTTCCAGTGCCGGGGAGAGAAGTCCCCATAATTTTTGGTTGTGAAAACCAGCAGAGATTGTGACTGAGTGAGACTGAAAGCAGCTGCATTCACAGACACTCCTCTTAAAGGGAGTGCGCGTGGACTTACCCACCAACGGGATCACCCGCTCTGAGTTCCAGCACTGGGGCAGCAACTGGAGAGGTGACAGGGACACACAGTGGGAAACTGTGTTGTCTGGCTTGGGATGGGGGCTGGAGAGGCGGCTTTGTCCTGGATGGGGGAGCTGGCGGAGGTCATTGTTTCTTTGCTGAGCTCTCCTCCTTCTTGACGCACGAACACAGGTGGCCACCATTTCTGAGTCTCGGCTGTTAGTTCGCCCCGCCCTGGAGATTTGAGACCTGGCCCCGCCCGACTTTCAGGTATACCCAGTCTACTTTTAGTGGCTTTTTCATGCAGACCGCCTGACTTGGCTCAGTTGTACTTTCCTAGAGTCTCTCCAAGGGTTGTAGAACCCAGACCAGCAAGCAGCATCTGGCTTGAACGTGTCCTGTACATCTGGCTGAGCAGCCCTAAGCACAGCTCTAGTGGCAGCTGGCCTTGGTTCGAGTCTTGGCTTCTCAAGGTGCTTCCAAGCACAGCATGGGTGGCAGCCATCTGCGGATTTCTTTCTGGCTTCCCCTGGGTGGCCCTGGGTGGAGCATGGGCTGTGGTTGAAGTGCACCTACAGTGGATCCCCTCCAAGGGGGTCCTGGGGCTGGCGCCCCCAGTGGCCAGCTTCAAAATGAGCTGGAATGTGACGGAGCCACCTCCATGTATGATGCACCCAAGGGGTGGATTGGGAAGACATCAGAGTCCTGCTGAGGCAGATCCTGCTCCATAGGGTCAGCCCCTGCACCACTATTCCACAGTAGTCACGGCCAGTTGTTGGGACCAGTGAATTCAAGGGTCAGCCCGTCCCATTGATGTGCAATTATCAACCAAGAGGAGGGCACATACAACCCACACAAGGGACACACCTGAGCGTGGCTCAGGTGACTAGGAAGACTGCACCACGGGGCCCCATAGGACACTACTACATAAGGTCAGTCTACTAAGACCAGGAGTCATAGCAGCCCTACCTAATACATAGAAACAAACACAGGGAAGCAGCCAAAATGGGGAGACAAAGAAACATGTCCCAAATAAAAGAACAGAATGAAGCGCCAGAAAAAAGAACTAAGTAAAATGGAGATAAGCAATCTATCAGACATAGAATTCCAAACACTAGTTGTAAGAATGCTCAGTGATCTCAGGGAGAACTTCAACAGGGTGATAAGAAACATAAAAAAGAACCAGTCAGAAATAAAAGATACAATAATGGAAACAAAGAACATATTATAAGGAATCAACAGGAGATTTGATGAAGCAGAGGATCCAACCAGCGATGTAGAAGATAAGGTAGCAAAAAACACCCAACCAGAATAGCAAAAAGAAAAAAAAATCCAAAAAATTGAGGAGAGTTTCAGGGGCCTCCAGGATAATATCAAGAGTACCAACATTCGCATTATAGGGGTACCAGAAGAAGAAGAGAGAGCAAGAATTGAAAACCTATTTGAAGGAATAATGACAGAAAACGTCCCTAATTGACATAATAATTAAAATGCCAAAGGTTAAATACAAAGAGAGAATTTTAAAGGCAACAAGAGAAAAGCAGTTAATTACCTACAAGGGCACTCCCATAAGACAGTCAGCTGATTTCTCAACAGAAACTCTTTGC